GGGGGGGGCGCACGCTGTCCGCCCCGTGCAGGACGACCAAAAACACACTGTGCGGCAGCTGCTGGACCGCGAGCGGCTGCGGTGCCCTCCAAAGGTCCGCCCTGCGCAGGCCCACCACCCCTGCGAGCCCACAAGGAGGAGTAAGCTGTGTGGAAAAAGCGCTGGCTTGTGCGCGGGCGCCCCGCGGTCATCGTTTAGCATTGGTTTTCGACCGTGGGGGCGGGGGGGGGGGGTACCTTCCTGTTGACTGCTCCGCGCAGGGGCTCACAGTCCCTGACACACACACACACACACATCATGCAAAGCGCACTTTGCAGCAAACTCTGGATCATGCGCGGGCGCCCCCGACCACTTCGCAATGGTTTTGGACAGGGACGGCAGAGGTGCATTCATATTGTCTGCTCGATGTTTCCAAGAGCGCCCAAGGAGTGCTCCAAGAGGTGCCCAAGAGGCGATTTTAGTGACTCGATCAGGGCAATGCGAATTACCTTCTTTGGGCAGCACAAGCATTGAACAACCACATGGGTTGCGAAGAAGTGTTTCTTGTCGGGGGCATCATTGGGATGTGTTTGGCCCACGAGGGCTCCGAGAGGGCCCCAGCTACTTTAAGATGGCCTCCGACATGGCGCAATATAGTCCAAGCTGGCCCACGATGGTCTCCAATATGCTTCTTAGAGACCCAAAGGCCGCCCAAAGACTGCTCCCAAACAGCTCCAGGTGTCTACGTACGGAACCTCCCAGGGAAGGCACCCAGAAACCAACATTCTTCAGACCTTCGGACAATCGGTGTGGTTTGCCATCTCGCCAGTTCGCTGTCGGCTGCCCTCCGAAGCCTCAGGGTGGCCCCAAGAAGGCCCACAAGAGCCCAACGAGGAGCAGAATAGGGACCCAAGGCGGCCCCAAGAGTGCCCAAGAGCACCCCACGAACGCTCCGAGTGAATCCCACCAGCCCTTTGGGCGTGAGTGGTTTAGAGAGCCCGCTCTGTTCTCAACCCCCCTTCTTCCCCTTCGGGGAGGGGTTTACACCTCCCCCTACCCCCTCCCCCTGGGCCTGGAGAGGGCGCCCCGCGGGTGGTCAGAGGGGTCTTTTTTGACTCCTGGGAGGGCTAAGAAACGACACCCCTCACGAGGATTCTGGCCCCGACGGGGGAAGGGAGAAAAGTGCTCCCCTCTTCTTTGAAGCCAGAATCGTTGATTTTACTACGGTTTTGGCCCCATTTTGGCGTTCTGAGGGGGCAGCGCTAATTAAAGCTCCCCTCTTCTTTCAAGCCAAAATCATTGATTTTACTAAGGTTTTGGCCCCATTTTGGCCTTCTGAGGGGGCAGCGCTAATTAAAGCTCCCCTCTTCTTTGATCGATTTCCTCCAAGATGGCCCCAAGAAGCGCCCAGGAGGCACCAAGAGGCCCCAAGATGGCCCCAAGAGGCCCCCAGGAGGCCCCCAAGAGGATCCCAAACGGCCCAAAGAGGCCCCCCCGAGGCACCCAAGACGCCGAAAAGCCCATCAGGACGACCCTCTACTCGCCCGGGCGTCGTTTCTGGACGGGCAGGAGGAGGGGCCCGAACGACTCACACCAGGACGAGGGGCCCGAACAACTCACACCACGAGAAGCCCGAACGACTCACACCAGGACGAAGAGCCCGAACGACTCACACCATGAAGAGCCCGAACGACTCACACCAAGACGAAGGGCCCGAACAACTCACACCACGAGAAGCCCGAACGACTCACACCAGGACGAAGAGCCCGAACGACTCACACCACGAAGAGCACGAACGACTCACACCAGGAAGAAGGGCCCGAAAGACTCACACCAGGACAAGAGACCCGAACGACTCGAACCACGAGAAGCCCCAACGACTCACACCTGGACGAGGGGCCCGAACGACTCACACAACGAGGAGCCCGAACGACTCACACCAGGAATAGGGTCCCGAAGGACTCACACAAGGACGACGGGGCCGAAGGACTCACACAACGAAGGGCGCCCCAACGACGCCCACCAGTCGTCGTCGTCGTCGTCGTCGTCGACGTCGTCGTCGTCGTCGTCGTCGCCGCCGCCTTCGTCGTCGTCGTCGTCGACGTCGTCGTCGTCGTCGTCGTCGTCGTCCTTCTCCCGCTCCCCCCACAAGGAGGATGTACAAGGAGGCGGGAGGAAGGAGGAACAGGGGAGACATGCGGGGCCAAGCGGACACAAGCCTGAAAAACACGACTGTCGGCATGCTTCGCAAGAGTTGCTGTTGTGAGATGGGCTGGTGGGGATACGCGAAGCGTAAAGAATTCCAAGGGGCATTTGTAGGCGAGCAGATTGATCGAACTCCTACAAAATGGCCCCACAAGGCCCCCAAGAGGCCCCAAAGAGGCCCCCAAGAGTCCCCCCGGAGGCCCCAAGAGGAACCGCCAAGGCACCCGAGGCGCTCCGAGAGGCACCCAGGACCGCCAAGAGGATCCCAAGACGTCCCAAGAGGACCCCCAAGAAACTCTCAAGAGACATCCGAAGAGACTCCGAGAAGCATCACACATGCCTCTGTTCGCCTTCATTACCGTTCTCCTCCACCTTTTCGTCATCTGTCTATTCCTCATCCTCCCTCCTCCCCTTCCTCCTCCTCCTCCTCCGGTTCTATCCAACCGCGCCGGGGTCGCCGAGAAGCAATTGACTGCGCAACTTCCTTTGGTTATGTTTCTGGTCTAGGACTGAGTATGCCCAGTCTTTCGAGCACCCTTGGTCCAGTCCGTGTCCAACGTTTCGGCGTGTGGTTGGCTATCCTCTGCAAGACCTGCCGCAACCAACCACATGGGGCAGGCCGACCCTTGTTTCCGACTGTGCGAAAACACCACGCGTACCTCTTGAATGCAAAGATACACTGTGTCTGGCTGTATTATGGGACTCCTTCGTACGCGCCAAAATTGCCAGACGATGTCAAGCCAGGCTCTGAGAACCTGCTGCTTTGACCTTCGAAGAAAGGAGGAAACAACTGCTCCAGGCGGATCCAGCCGTGGCCACGAGGGAGCGTCCCCAAGAACCCCCCACAAAGGTCCAAATGTGTCCAACACAACTCGGCCATCGATCATCCTTGGCGGCTATCAGAGGCTCCCTGGGGGTGGTTGGAGGATATCCTCAGAGGCCCCCCAAAGCAGAAGAAGAACCAACGGCACGAAAACTCTTACGTCACCAGCGAAAGCAATTTTTCAATCAAACGATTGCCGTCAGTACTCTCTGCGCGCTTCTGTAGCTGCGCGTCCGAAACATTATCGCTGATAGGACGAAGGCGGTGCCATCATGCGACTGCCTCACAACACCCGCACCTCGTCTCTGGAGCCCGTGCGGGATATCCAATGAATCTTGAGAAGATGGAAAATCTTGGGAATCTTGGAACGCATCACCATACTGTCATAGTTCAACTGTAACAGGTCTAGCTGTACTCAAAACGGAATCAAAAATCTGGATACCTAGTTCAATGGGATCGGGATACACCGGGAATATCTGAGATCCGGGGGCTCTGAGGGATGTGTCGGGAGCCACGGCTCACTCAGAGAGTTCCAGGAATACTCCAAGAGCGTCCCGCAACGCTGTGGAGCGATCTATCCCGATTCCGGGCCCGAGAAAAACTGGTGCTCGCCGGGCGCACCCTGAGAAGACCTTCGGGGGAGAATCCGGCCGCGGCAACACCTGTAACAGCCCCGTGCCCAGCTGCACTCGCCTCGGCGGAACGTGGAAGGTTGGGCAGAGGCAGAGGTGGGGCTGGAGAGAAATCGCTCCCAACGGCTCCTGGAGGAAGGACTCGTGAGCATCCAGCTGGGCCCGTTCCTTGACCCCACAGTTGTCTATCCGATTCAACGATAGGCGATCCACACAGTCGTCGTTGACGACCGACTGTGGGGAACGACTGTGGGGTCAATGGACGACCGAATGTCAACGACGACGCTTGTCGACACTCCCCACGCTTGACGACAGCTCGGCTCCAACTCCAATCGAATCGATGATTCGGATCGGCGATCGAAGCGAAGCGGATCGGCCAACATCGGCACCCAAATCGGGAGAAACCGAATACACGGAAATCGGCAGGGCTATAGGGCCTCCACTGAGAAACCGGAGCCCGGATCGGCATCCCAAATCAAATCGAATCGGGTCGAATTGAATCGGATCGGAAGGGTCGAAAATGAGCCCTGCTACCCCCCCCTCTTTTTTTTTCTCATCCAGGGAGCGGAAGGCGCACGAGCAAGCACAGACAAAGCCCTGCTAACCCCCCCTTGGGACAACCCCCCTCTACGAGCCCACGATCGCCGAGAGCGCACCCAACAGCCACCGACAAGAAGAGGACGGGCCGCCGCGTCATCGCCGCCGCCGCCGCCGTAGTCGTCGTCGTCGTGGTCGTCGTCGTCGTCGTCGTCGTCGTCGCCGCCGTCGTCGTCGTCGTCGTCGCTCGTCGTCGCCCTCGTAGACGTCGTCGTCGCTCGTCGTCACGCGCCGCCGTCGTCGTCGTTCGTCGTCACTCGTCGCCCTCGTCGTCGTCGTCGACGCCGCTCGTCGCCGCTGGTCGTCGTCGCTTGTCGTCGTCGCCGACCGCCGAGGGCGCACCCCGAAGCCCCCCGAAAACCAGCAGAGCACACCGCGCCATCCCGCGGAGACCCCTCGCGGGCGACGCGCGAGGACCAGCACGGGAACCTGCGGTGATGCCCGACGTCGGGCGTCGTCGATGGTCGCACGTCGCTCGTCGTTGCTCATTGCCGTCGTCGTCGCCGCCGTTATTGGTCGTCGTCGTTGGTCGTCGTCCTTGGCGCTGGTCCTCTTCGTCGCCGGTCGTCGTCCTCGTCGCTGGTCGTCGTCGTTGCCGATCGTCGTCGTCGTCGCTGATCGTCGTCACCGTCGTCGTCGTCGTCGTCATCGTCGTCGTCGTCGTCGTCGTCGCTCGTCGCCGTTGGTCGTCGTCGCTCGTCGCCGTTGGTCGTTGTCAATCGTCGTCGCTCGTCGTCGCCGCTCGCCCGCGCAGGGGCCCGCGCCGATGCCCGAGGCGGGGGGCGGCGGCTCCCCGGGCTTCAGGGCGGGCAGCGCGTTGGGTTTCGCCTTGGCCTTCGATCTGGGGGCGCCGGGCTTCGGCGGCGCGGCCTGGCAGGGCGGTCGCAGATACAGTCGGACTTGATTGGAGAGGACACGCGAGAGGACGCCAGACCCTTCCGAAGGCCACATCGCCACAGGAGTGTAAGAAGGCACGCGTCGCGAGGCACAGGACACAAGGGCACCCTTGCGCTGGCAGGGTCGACCTACTAATCAGGGCCGCCTGTAGGAGGCGTGGGGGGAGATGCGGCGTCTTGAATGAGATTTGTTTTGTCCTTCGATCTTGAAGCCGGTCTCTTGAGCAGAGGACCGAACCAAAAAAATGCATAGCCGTAATTTATCTAAGGTCCGCGCGGGACTCTTGGATCGGCGCTGCAACTTGCTCGAAACGCGCCAAGAGCGGCGACGGAGGCGCCGCCAGGGGGCCCATCGCCGATCCAAGAAATTCGCGCAGAACTCAGTGAAACTATACATTCGGATCCCGATCGCATGAAGCCTCCCGCAAAAAAAAAACGCAACCCTGAAACCACAGGACGCCCATTTAATTTAGGTGTGGGAGCGTCACGCTTTCCATTGCAAAACCATCGAAACCCCAAAAACCCAGGGCACCCTGGAGGCAAGCGGGGTGTTTCTTGGCGGTTGTAGAGCTCTTGGCCCGCGTTTGGCCGTCGCCTTCCCGTCGTCTCAGAACAGATTGTGGTCTCAGGTGAGTTGCGCCAATACTGGAGTTCCGCTCGCTATATCGCAAAAATTTCTGGTCGTTGGATATCACGCGTTTTCAAATGGCCCCCAAGGGCGACCGCGCCACTCCTGGGAATATGATTCGCAGTCCATGCGTAACCAATTTGACATTGGCAACTGGAAAGGCGGAGAAGAATGCACGCGCCTGGGCACACATGACAAAACATGTTGTTGAACCGCTAGAGCGCTTAGCTCTTTGCGCAGGTCGTCCACTGGACCCCTGATACTCGAAACCCGCGGGGCCGCTCCCGCTGGAACTGGCGCGCGGGTTGAGGCCATAACGAAAACAGTTTCCCGCCTGCGCCCTATGTGGTCGCCCTTCGCGGGCATGCAAGCCTGACCTGACCCACACCTGCGTAGGGCTTCGCCTCAACGCGCCCCGTCGTCGTAAGATCGGTCGTCTCTGATGGCGCACTTGGTGTCTTACCTGTTGTAGATGTAGGCGGCAACGGTGACAATCATGTAGTTTGGGTTTGGTCAGGGCCCGTGTTGTACACGGTGCCCCATCGGTTTGGGGGCCGCCGCTGCTCTAACTCTCGGCATGGCGTCCGCCGGTGGCTCTCCAAGGGTGGTGGCATGAACTCGTGGCCTTGGTGGTTCGCGAAGCTCGGCCTGTGGACGTTGAGTTTCAGCTTGTGGTTATGAAGATTCACCCCGCAGGCTTTGGACTCGTCCACGGGGTACGCGCGCAGCCACCTTTTGTGGCGGCGCGCTGAAGACCGCCGCCAGTGGGTCCCAGTGCGCGGCGCGGGGGCCCGGGACCAGAAAGGCGCTCCTCATACTTTTCCTCCTCCTCCTCCTGCCCACCCTGCCCCTGGAACTGTCGATTCCTCCACCACCTTCCCCTTTTTGGGGTGCGACGGCTTCCCAGCCATGTATTCCACTGCGTGGTCCTCCACATCCCTGATCAGGGCAACTCCCCTGGGCATCGTTTCTAAATGGGTTGGGGGATCATTTTTGATCGAGACCGCAGGCGGGCACCCGCGCGGCGTTCGAAAGTCGCAAAGGGAGCGCAAGCCCTGCTGTCGCAAGCGAGGCGCGGAAAAAAAGGGCCACTGAGGTGGCGAAGGCTACCCAAAAACCGAGACAAGGGCGGACGAAAGCGAAGAGGATAACGAGAAAGAAAAAGCGGCAGCGGCAACGAGACAGAGAGGAATAAAGACAAGACCAGGAAAGAAGGGGGCTGAGCCGCAGCTCGTGCGCAGACCAAGTAGTAGACGTCCGCACCTTGCCGAACAGCCCGTCGTTGTCGCTACTCTCACCATGCCCGAACCAATCCACTCGGATGCGGTGTCGCGAGAGGCGAGGAGACCACGAAACCGACCTACGGCGGCAGGAGCGGGCGGTAGCGTAGAGCGCCCTTGCAGCCATGCAGTACATCAGGCCACCTCCAGGGCCAGCGCGATCGAAGTGCAGAGGTCCTCACATTCCTCGAGCCCTGGGGGGAACAAGAGGTGAGGGGGCCCGACCAAGAGAGGCAGCAGACAGTTGCCAGGAGCCAGTGGGGCCGGGGGTTAAGCAAAACGTCAAGAATTTCGAGGTTCTTCAACATCTCTGAACGTCATCCTCCTCCTCCCTCCTCCTCCTCCTCTCCCCCTCCACCTCCTCAAAAAGAACAGCAGCAGGGTGCCGTTGCCCTGTGTAGCCCGCAACGCTAGTGAAACCTCAGTCAAGCCGCCGGACCAGAGGGCTCTGGGCGCGAACCGGATGAGAAAATCAGTTCGGCTGCCAGCAACCGTCACCGCAGCCACAACCACTACCTGGAGGATGGGGGAGGTCATCAGCTCCTCTTGCTCCTCGTCCGCCTTTCTCTGGCCCGCGCTCTGTTCGTGCCTGCGCTCCCGCTCTCAACTCTTCCGCCTACGTGCGGCAGGGCCGCGTCGTGACAGCTCTGGCGTTGAGTCCTGACACCGCGTGGGTCGCTGCTTCGATCGCCGGGACATTCCGCACCGGCCCTCGTACTGGCGGCGTTCGTACTGGGACGCCCGCGGGTGGTCGCCGACGCATCGACGCGTCACGGGCCTGCCGTACGGTCAAAACTGATGGTAAGGATGCGCGGTGGGGATGCGGGCCCCTCGGGCGCCCGTGTCGAAGCTTTTCGAGCGGTGCTGGCCATCGGGTGGTTAGGGGTGGGCCAGAGAGACCAGGATGCAAAGGCGCCCTTGGCATGCTACTCATCCTTCTCATCGATTTCGGCTGTACCTCTGATCATCCGTGCCAATCTCGTTCTCCTCACCCTCGCCAAGCTCGTCCCTTCCCGACACTCCTCTCGCCCTGCCTCCTGCCGCTCCCCCCCACACACCTCCTGCTCGTCGTGCTCCTTCCGCTCCTCCGGCTTCCTCCGCCGTCTCGACCTCCTCCTCCTCCTCCTCTTCCTCCTCCTCCTCTCCCAGATGCCCCTTCGCCAGTATAGTCGTCACCGACATCAGCCCTACGTATGCTCTGGATACCCTTCGCCCTCTCCTCTCAACCCTTAGCTCTCCTTCTCCTCCTCCTCCTCCTGCTCCTTCGCATCCTCCTGCTCCTCCGTCCTTCTTCCCCCTCCATCATCTTCATCGTGCCGTTTCGCTCCTGCTAAAGATGATGAGGGAGGGGGAGGAAGGACGGAGGAGGAGGAGGAGGAGTGCCTTCTCGCTCCTGCTCGAATTCCTCCTCCTCCTCCTCCTCCTGCTCATCTTTGCATGCCGTTCTCCCTCCTGCTCTCACTCCTCATTCACCTCATTCACCCCATCCGCCCCGAGCAGCCCTGCTCCCTGCGTCCCAATTCCCGCTCACCCCATTCACATCCCTTCTCATCCGTCAGCTTCGACCTTCCCATCCACATCCTCGTCCTCCTCCTCCTCCTCCTCAAATTACTACCCTCCTCTCTTCATCTCCCTCCTCGCAATTCGATCGCCTCCCTCCTCCTCCATACCAAATCTTTCGGCGAAGAAGGGGACAGAAAGGCATAGTGTTGCCCGTGCCTTGTTTGTGTGTTTGTGCTCTCTCTCTCTAAGCTCTCGCTCGCTCGCTCTCTCTCTCTCACTCATGGTCATACTGTGCAAAGATGTTGTTTGTAATCGAGGGTCTCAATATCAACTTTCTGATGCTTGTGCTCCCAACTGCGTCTATCGGACATTACCTTCATCCGTTCTGCTTCCCTCCCTCCTCGCCCCTCTCAATCCCCGAGGTAATACGACGCGGGCAACATCGTGGAGAGCAACATCTGCTGTGAAGGATCCTGCTGGATTGATGCCTTGTGTTCTTTGTGTTGCCATGTGTCGATTGTCCATTGTACGGTTCACTATGACTATGGTGGAAGGGCGCACGAACGAAAATTAGCCTGGAGAATGACCCAACAAAAACCTGCTGTGCGCACCGTATTGACTCACGGCTGACATTCCACCACCGCTTGTCAGGGCGTAAGGCGCTGCGGCGTGAGCCCTACCCGCACCTGGTCCATTTGCAAATTGGTGCTGCAATCGATTGCAAGTGTTACGCAGCCTGGCCACGGGCCAACCTTTGACTACGTGAGCGTAGGACCAACGAGTGAAGCGATGAATCTGGCGAAGGGAGAAGAAGAATAATGATAATAATAATTAGAGGAACAGTAAGACGAGTAATCATAATAAGAATAGGAGGATGACGAAGAAGAGAAAGGGAAGCGCATAATTGTGTGTGCAGCGTACCTTCTTCGATGGCAACAATTACAAATCTAAGGGATAACAGCGCGAGATGTCACGGCGTGGGACGGCGCGTATGGTAGTTGTGAATGTAATTTTCGGTGGAGGCCCCCCAACGGGGTCACGAAACGCGTGAGGGGCACGCCGGAGTGATGTGAAGAAGGCACGCGGACCCTGGAACTGGGGCCTTGGGTGGAGCTCCCTACGTGGCCACGAAAAATGTAACATACACGCCAGAATGGTGTGGAGACGGCATGGGCGCAACTGCTGAGGCCTCCTCTGGCGTTCCCTCTAGGGCCACGAAACGTGAGAGGGGAGCGCCGAGATGGTGCGGAGGAGGCATGCGGTCTCTGGCTCCTGGGGCCTCAGATGGAGCTCCTGGTGGGGCCACGAAGCGCGTGTGTGGTGTGCCGAATGAGAAGCAGGAAGAGGAGGAGGAGGAGGAGGAGGAGGAGGAGGAGGAGGAAGGGGGGGAGGAGGAGGAGGAGGAGGAGGAGGAGGAGGAGGAGGAGGAGGAGGAGGAGGAGGAGGAGGAGGAGGAGGAATGGGGCCACGAAACGCGAGAGGGGCGCGCCAGCATGAGAGGCGGGAACTCGTGTGAACCTTTGCATTTGGGCCTTGGTGGGGGTCCCACACGGGGCCACGAAACGTGTGAGGGGTGTGACGAAACGACAGGGCGGGAACTCGTATGGACTTTGGCATTTTGGCTAATGTTGAATCTCCCGATGGGGGCACGAAACGTGTGAGCGGCGTGCTGACATGAAAAACGGGAACTCAAGTGAACTCTAGCATTTGGGTCTTACTTGGGGCTCATTGTGGGGCCACGAAACGTGTGAGTGGTTTACCAAGTTGAGAAGCGGAGGCTCGTGTGAACTTTGCCATGTGGGCCTTAGTTGGAGTTGCCCCTGGATTGCACGGAGCCATCTTGGCGGCATCATCGGACCTTCGAGGGCCGTCTTCCGGCCCGCTTGGGCTGGCTGGAGCCACCTTGTAACCGTTTTTGTGAGCCTCGCCAACGCTCCGAATACAAAAAAGGCGAGTATGGCAAAATCAAACAAAAAACTGCCGGAACATCAACGAGCGAGGCCTCTTGGGAGTCTGCTTGAAGGACTCTTGGAGGCGCCTCAGACGGCCTCCGAAGGCGCCAGACGGCGCAAGAGCGCCCGAAGACGGCACAAGAGATCCCCCCCAAGCCACCAAACGGTCCACAAGAGACCCTGGTATGCCCCCCGACGGCCCGCAACGACCTCCCTCTACGTGTTCCAAGCGTGAACACGCGTGGAAACGACGTGTGCCCGAGGAAGGTCTAGAGCCCAGCGGAGTCCAGCATTGTGTACGGCGTCTTTTATGTTTGCAGAGCATTGTTTGTAGATAGCCTTTGCATATGTAACCCCCACTGCCCTGCATAGCTTACACCAGCTTAAGAGCATCCAGACTGCCATAACCACTGCTCAGAGTCTACGCCTGCAAACCTGGTGCAACTCACATGGCCCAGTCTGTGTGGTGCTCCCTGGGTTGCGCAGTGCAGGCCAGCCAACACGCCAGCGCCCACGCGAGGACACCGGCAACAAAAACTAGGGCTCCCAACTTCGCGCTTCGCGCTCCGCGAAGCGCGAATAACTTCGCGCCCTCGCGCCGCCCCCCCAAAGGGAGAAAAGGAGGACGAGGAGGGGGGAGAAGGAACGAGGACCGCGAAGCGCGAAGCGCGAATAACTTCGCGCCCTCGTGGGAGCCCTTGAAAAACTGCGAGAGCCAGCCAGCACACGAGGTGCCCAAGTGGCGCCCACGGGCGGGCACCAGGCGAGAGCATGGACGCGCCAGCCAACGCCCGAGACACCCACGAGGCGCCCACGGTCGGGCACCGGGCAGAAACCTGGCAAAAACCCATACAAATGACCTGCACACACACACAGTAAGAACCCCAATGGTGCAGTCGCTGTCGAGGGAATGATGGGACGAGCCTTGCTGCGCAAACGCCGTCGCTGACCTGCGGACGACTTCCGATGCACGTACATACAGCCGAAATGATCATCAAGAAAGTGATCAGTTGAGGAACCAGGGCCAGATTCCCTAAGTTTCTTTTCACAGAGCCTGGGCAAGCATACAGTCGGGGCGTTGACCTAAGGAACCCTAAATAAGGAACGTGGCCCCTTTCTACCATAAGTTGAACTTCGATCTCCCATCGAACACATAAGAAAAACCTGAGGCAAGCTGTGAAACAATTAAGGGAAACGGAGCCCTCCCCAACGAAAAGGGTTCCTTCTTCAGGGACCCGACTGTAATTGTTCACGCTGGTGGGACACACGTGCTTAAGAACCCGGGCCAGCTTCCCAGCGAGTTGGCCAAGAAACGCTGGCCCTGCTTTTCAGGAGGTGTCTGAATTGGCTTCTCGGCTGTACAGACAAAACGCTTGGCTGCGAAACGGTGCAAAGATCATGGCGACGCGGACGGGCGCTGAGGGCACTTGTAAGCAATTAGCCAAGCACTCCAAAGAAAGTGCTCCTCCTCCGCCTCGGCTTCTCTCCCTCCTTCCCTTCGGTTGCACAGGCCCCCTGCCCCTGGTTGTAGAGCTACACTGACGCCCATGAATATGAGACAAAACCATGTTTCGACTTTTCATTCCTCCTCCCAACCCCGTCCCCGTCCCCAGATAAGGCACATTTTTCAAGGAAACCAATGAATGCTTGAACGCGCCTCAGACCTGGCCTTGTTGATCTCGGACTCATAGAAGTGTGCAACTCTGCATCGGTGCAACGACGCCCACCGCAGACTCAACCGACAGGAATCTGATCGGATCGGATGACTTGGGCTCAACGTTTCCCGAACTCTCAACCTGAATTACGGTCTGCTACAACTCTCCTGATTGGGAGGCTGCCCGACTGCGTGTGGAAGCATGCCGGATCGAGAGCGGCGGTCAGAGCCTGTCGGAGGTACCTCCTCTCGAGCGTGAGGGGAGCGGAAGCCCCAGGCCTCCGACGATTATGCTGCTTCCTTTTCCAATGTGGGATCCCCAGACATCCCGCCCCCTTCCTGTGGGGCCGGCGTTCCACCCAGGGCCCGGGGGCACCTGTGGACGCCCCCGGGCCCGAAGTGGGCCTCTGGAGGCCGCTCACGTGGGGGACGCGCGTGCGGCCTGTTGGTGTTCGAGACGTTGGGAGGCCTGGGGCAGCGGAGGACACCAGCCGTGCCGCGGAGGCGCCTTGGACCCCGGCGTCATCAGCGTAGACTTCGGGTGTCTAATGGGGTCCACCACGGACTGCACCGGCACGACGGGCACCTCCGTCCCTCCACTGCCTTTGCGCCTCTCCCGGGTCAGTGACTGGAGCCTATGGCCAGAGGCGAGCACGGCTGGAAAACCGAACGGACGCCCTCTCGCACGGCACGTTCGGAAGCTCGGAAGACTGATTGCTAAGCCTCTCCAACCTCGTCCTCCTCCTCCCCTTGGTCCTCCTACCCGACCCAGAAGCATCGAGGCCCGCGCCGATTGTTTTTGGGCCGGCGCTGACCCGGCCCCCTTCCCACAAGGGAGAACGATAGGGTGGGACGTGCTCAGAATGGGAACCTGGACCTGCAATCGGGCGGCAGTACATCGCCGATTAATCGGCGATATACACTCGATAGCGAAATCGCACGCTCCTGGTCGTGCCTGGAAGTCAGGACCCTACGGACGATGCATGGGCGTTTAGGGGTAGATGTAATGATTCCCCGCTGAGCCCATCTCCCCCTGTCGTTGCCCCCTTGCGGCAACTCCATGAGGTTTTGAAGAATCAGCTGCACGCAGCAAGCTTCATACCCCCCTATTCTTAAGTCGGCCGTACCCCTACCCCTACATGGGGATTTTCTATGAAAAATAAAGCGTACTCAAAAAATGCTCCGAAATTGTCAAAAAATACTCCACAAATAGTCCCCAGACTATTTTGTGACTATTTTTGAATATTCCCCCTGTAGAGGGACAGGCCCGACTTAACCCTATTCCCAATCCCGCAACTCGCCCGACGTGCAGGAGGAGAAGCATGGAGTATGAGGAATGGCGCAGAAACGGGAACGCAAGCTGTGAGGCGTGTAATACGTACTCCACGGCGCTGTTCCCCGGCTGCCCCTGGATTCTCCCCCGCTTCGGGCCAGGGCGACAGGTGCTCCCTCCTCCCTGGCACGGAGGGGGAGGAGGGGGAGGGTGAGGCTGTCCCTCCCCCCACAAGTGCTCCCTCCTCCCTGACACGGAGGGGGAGGAGGGGGAGGGTGAGGCTGTCCCTCCCCCCACAGGTGCTCCCTCCTCCCTGGCACGGAGGGGGAAGGAGGGGGAGGGTGAGGCTGTCCCTCCCCCTCCCCTCCGGTATTGCGTCGGGGTTGCCCACCTTCACCAGAGCACACCTATAGCCGAAGAGAGTCCCAGAAAAGTGGGGAGGTAGGAGGAAGGAAAGAAAGGGGGGCAGGAAGAGGCACTGGAAGGACGGGAGGAGGTAGAGTGATAATCCCCCTCCCCTCCGGTATTGCGTCGGGGTTGCCCACCTTCAGCTTCAGCAGGCCTGCGGCGCCCGTGTGGCCGGGCCGGGGACGCCGCCGCCCACCGGCTCGATATCCAGGAAGCGGCCGGGGCGCCGCAGCGTCGGACGGGGACTCGCGCGGAGCGGTCTGGGCTCCCGGGGCTCGCTGCCGAGCTGCACGACAGCACTCGACGCCTCCCAAGAGGCCGCCAAGACGGTCCACGAGAGCCCCGAGTCGCCGAAAGATCGCTCCAAGACGCCCGAGATGAGCTCAGAGCGGCCCGAGAGGCCGCCAAGACACCCCACGAAGCCTCCAAGAGGCCTCCCAAGAGGCCCCAAAGAAACCCAAGTCTTGAAATTTCCTGAGGGAAACGTGCATTTTCAGCATATCCAACTTGTTCGCCTTCACGGCGTTGAAAACCGTCCACGAAGCCCCAACGAGGCCCCCAGGACCACCCCAAGACGGCCCACGAGGCTCCCAGGCCCCAAGAACAACCCCCAAAAACTCCAACGTGGCCCAAGAGGCACCCTAGACGGCCCAAGAGAGCTCCAAGACGGCCCCAAGAAGGGCCCAAGAGAGGGACCACGAACTGCGAATTCCAGCGCTCCGCCCAACGAAGCTCTCTGGAGGAGCCAAGAGGCCCCCCAAGCGGCCCCAAGAGGCCCCCATGAGGCACCCAAGAGGCCCCAAGGAGCCCCCAAGAGGCCCAAAAGAAGCCCCAAAACGGCCCCCAAGACCCTTCGAAACTGCCTCGAACAAGCCTCGGGAATGCAGTCCTGGAGGCGCAGTCGTTTATAGAGGGGTCGGCGGATGTGGCGTAAGCCTATAGAATAGTTGTGTACTGTACTCTACTTGTCCTGAGCACGTTCTGAACAAGACTACGCACCGTTCTGTACTTGTACATCTCCATCCGTCAGAGTGCCCTTGCAACGCTGGGGCGCCAGAGTGCATGCGCGCTGTCTGCTGAAGCTTCATTGTGTTTCAAGGCAGATCCCCCGAATAGCCGACCCACCTCAAAAGAAACCCGCGTGCGGCTCGCATCCTGACGCCCTTCGCGGCCCCAGGGCCACCCCAAGACCGCCACAAGAAACGAACCCCCGAAACGCCCGCTAGCAGCCCCCCAAAAGACATCCAAGACAACAGCAACAAGCGAGTAATAAGCCTCCAAGAGACGCCTTACGAGGCAGCGCGACAGCCATCTAAAATTATCCCGGCAAAGCAACCTAACATCGATGTGTAGGAGCATATCTGGAAGCATTCCCCTTAAGATTAGGATGAGAATCCAGTTGTAGAATTCTGCTGTTCTCGCAGTCGTAGTCGCATTCGCGATGACAGTCGCAGTGGCAACGGCAGTGCAGTCACAGCCTCAGCCTCAGCCTGCCTCAGCCTCAGCCTCAGCCTCAGCCTCAGCCTCAGCCTGCCTCAGCCTCAGCCTCAGCCTGCTTCAGCCTCAGCCTCAGTCTGCCTTCAGCCTCGGCCTCAGCCTCAGCCTGCCTCAGCCTCAGCCTGCATCAGCCTCAGCCTCAGCCTCAGCCTGCCTCAGCATCAGCCTCAGCCTCAGCCTCAGCCTGCCTCAGCCTCAGCCTCAGCCTGCTTCAGCCTCAGCCTCAGTCTGCCTTCAGCCTCGGCCTCAGCCTCAGCCTGCCTCAGCCTCAGCCCTCAGCCTCAGCCCTCAGCCTCAGCCTCAGCCTCAGCCTGCCTCAGCCTCAGCCTCAGCCTCAGCCTGCCTCCTCAGCCTCAGCCTCAGCCTCAGCCTGCCTCAGCCTCAGCCTCAGCCTCAGCCTCAGCCTCAGCCTGCCTCAGCCTCAGCCTCAGCCTCAGCCTCAGCCTCAGCCTCAGCCTGCCTCAGCCTCAGCCTGCATCAGCCTCAGCCTCAGCCTCAGCCTGCCTCAGCCTCAGCCTGCCTCAGCCTCAGCCTCAGCCTGCCTCAGCCTCAGCCTCAGCCTGCTTCAGCCTCAGCCTCAGTCTGCCTCAGCCTTCATCAGCCTCAGCCTCAGCCTCAGCCTGCCTCAGCCTCAGCCTGCCTCAGCCTCAGCCTCAGCCTGCCTCAGCCTCAGCCTCAGCCTGCTTCAGCCTCAGCCTCAGTCTGCCTTCAGCCTCGGCCTCAGCCTCAGCCTGCCTCAGCCTCAGCCTGCATCAGCCTCAGCCTCAGCCTCAGCCTGCCTCAGCATCAGCCAGCCTCAGCATCAGCCTGCCTCAGCCTCAGCCTCAGCCTGCCTCAGCCTCAGCCTGCTTCAGCCTCAGCCTCAGTCTGCCTTCAGCCTCGGCCTCAGCCTCAGCCTGCCTCAGCCTCAGCTCAGCCTCAGCCTCAGCATCAGCCTCAGCCTCAGCCTCAGCCTGCCTCAGCCAGCCTGCCTCAGCCTCAGCCTCAGCCTGCTTCAGCCTCAGCCTCAGTCTGCCTTCAGCCTCGGCCTCAGCCTCAGCCTGCCTCAGCCTCAGCCTGCATCAGCCTCAGCCTCAGCCTCAGCCTCAGCCTCAGCCTCAGCCTCAGCCTCAGCCTCAGCCTCAGCCTGCCTCAGCCTCAGCCTCAGCCTGCTTCAGCCTCAGCCTCAGTCTGCCTTCAGCCTGCCTCAGCCTCAGCCTGCCTCAGCCTCAGCCTGCATCAGCCTCAGCCTCAGCCTGCCTCAGCCTCAGCCCATCAGCCTCATCAGCCTGCCTCAGCCTCAGCCTCAGCCTGCCTCAGCCTCAGCCTCAGCCCTGCCTCAGCCTCAGCCTTCAGCCTCAGCCTCAGCCTGCCTCAGCCTCAGCCTGCCTCAGCCTCAGCCTCAGCCTGCCTCAGCATTCAAAATGTGGCCCGGGAATGGAATTCTGGGAACTCGAAGAACACGAAGTGGCCTACAGTTGGCTCCGGGCATTCAAAATCATGCCCAGGAATGGAAGTTCTGGGAACTCGAAGACCACGAAGTGGCCTACAGTTGGCTCCGGGCATCCAAAATGTGGCCCGGGAATGGAGTTCTGGGAAGTCGAAGAGCACGAAGTGGCCTACAGTTGGCTCCGGGCATCCAAAATGTGGCCCGGGAATGGAGTTCTGGGAATCGAAGAGCACGAAGTGGCCTACAGTTGGCTCCGGGATGTTGGAGTTCTGGGAAGTCGAAGAGCACGAAGTGTGTGACTGAATTCAGAATGGCCTGGGAATGGGGTTCTGAGAGGTCGACGAGCACGAAGTGTGTGACTGTTGGTGAAAAACGAGCCCGGCACAGGCCCGGCCGGCAACTCCCAACGCCTGCCCGGACCCCCCTGTGGAGTGATCTGTGAGCTCTTTTGAGTCAACTAGAAACCTATCAGTCTTCGCTGTTAGGTAATTACGATCGCGCTAAGCTACAACATTGTGGCGCTGCTTTGAGCCTGGTGGTTGTACTGAGCGTGTTCTAAAGAGCTCGGTATAATCATCCTGAGGGCATGTCGATGCTGCGCTGACGCGGTGACGGAGCTTGCCACAGGCACCTGAACACAGGTAACCCGTGTTGTATGTTCATACAGTGTTGCAATTGTGTGTCAGCATAATCAGTGTGCTCTTACGTACAACTGTGGAGATCTTGTCAGCATATGACATATACATATATATATATATGTATATATATATATAGATCTACATACACACATACATATATATATATATATATATATATATATACTAGAACCACGCGCGCGCTTCGCGCGCGCTTAGGTTCTAGCTAGGAGGCGAGCTTGAGTCAACGAAAGTCGCAGGGAAGGGGGCAGGGGGAAGAAGGCCAGAGAGCGCTGAAGGATACAAATACTGGAACCCTCTTGTGATTTTGTGGGGGGCCTCGTCCGGCCGC